AGCAAAGTGTAGTGTCATGTAGTGTAGTCGAGTTAAGCGAAGCAACATCTGAACCGCCAAAAGTGGTCCGAAACCCTAGTGTTTTTAACATGTTAACTTCCAAATCTGCTTCGCCACAACGGCGTGCACTTTTTCGAAACTCGACATCTCAGCCTCCAAAAGTGGTCCGAACATGGTGTGGTTTGTACATTTTGACTTCGAAATGTGCTTCGCGCCACAGCGGCGTGCACTGTTTCGAAACTCGACCTCTGAGCCTCCAAAAGTGGTTCGAACCCCTGGTGTTTTGCACATTTTGACTTCGAAATGTGCTTCGTGCCACAACGGCGTGCACTTTTTCGAAACTCGACCTCTGAGCCTCCAAAAGTGGTCCGAACCCCTAGTGTTTTTAACATTTTGACTTGGAAATGTGCTTCGCGCCACAACGGCGTGCATTTTTTCGACATCTTAAGTGCCAAAAGTGGTCCGCACTTGGTGTGTTTTCTACATTTTGACTTGGACATGTGCTTCGCGCCACAACGGTGTGCACTTTTTCGACATCGCAACTTCCAAAAGTGGTCAGACCCTGGTGTGTTTTGTACATTTTGACTTGGGGATGTGCTTCGCGCCACAACGGCGTGCACTTTTTCGACATCTGAAGCGCCAAAAGTGGTCCGATCCTCTGGTGTTTTGTGCATTTTGACTTGGAAATGTGCTTCGCGCCACAACGGCGTGCAATTTTTCATGTCTCATCTCCCCATATGTCTCCGCACCCGCCGCTTTAGCGAGCCTACTTTTCGACCCTCCGGAACCACAAATCATTGGAAAAACACAGTGAATCGCGACTTTCCTACCTTTTCGCGCATCTGCATCTTCTTTCTTCTGACTCTTTCTCTTCTGAACTTTCTCTTCTCTCTGCCTCTGCCCTGCTCTGCTTTTCATCTGTCCATATTGTCGGAAGTTTAGCTTCTCAACTTCCTTCGACAATATAGTTAAAGATATGTATCTATATATATATACACATAATAATTCCATGATATATATATATACTAAATAATCTCAATATACATATAGATTCGTATATATATATATATATGCATACTCTACCCAGCAATTGTGGGATATTGCGCTTTGGCTAGTGGTTGCCGAAGCATAATCGCTGCCCCTTGCTCAGCATATCTAGATCATTTGGTGGATTTTCCGCAAGGGTTCCTCCAAGATATTCTCTTCAACCAAAAGACTTCGCTAATGACATTTCAATATGTTTCATATATATGTATATTCGTATATATATAGTTATCATGTATAATAACTAGAACACCTATAATGACTAGAATTACTATAATAACTAGAACATAATTATCACAACTATATTGAACCCCCCCCTTCGATTCCCCCAAGGTCCGCCTCTAAAGCCGCGTTTGCAAGAAGTCACCCCGCGGGCCCACTTTTTGCACCAAGATTCCAGCACCAGGATAGCCCTAAGTCAGTTGCTTTGGGTACATGCTGGGGTCAAAACACCACGTTTGTGAATCCCACACTGTTCTACACATGTACACACCAGAATCAACCCCATCCGCGTTGCAACAATGTGCTGCCCCCCGTTACACGTTGCCTCGCAAACCCCATAACCTGATATTTATACATATATCTAACTATATGTATGTATTTATATATATATATATGTCTGTGTGTCTGTGTGTGTGTGTCGTGTCCCCCCTCCCTGAAACCTACCTTTTTGGTACCCGCCCTCGAGTCCAAGCCCAGAAGACTTTTTTCGATATCTGCCCCAACTCCACCCACGTCCGTCCGCAGCGGATATGCCTCGTTCCCTTGCTCTCTTCTCCTGTTCCAACCCACGCCTACCTTTCGATCTTTCACCCTTCCCTCTCAAGTTTTGATGCCATGCCCGGTGACATCTTTGTGCTGCGCAATGCTGGCAACACTTGTACCTGGGCTTGGTTAAGTTTTATAAGCATTTTCAACTAATTTCATTATTATTTGTGAGTGACATTGATGACTTTGACACTGCATGTTTCTGTCGATTTCCCCAGATAAGATGCATTGCATTGGCATGCACTGAATGTACAAATGTGTGTTTGTACATGTGTATGCATTGCATGTATTGATATCAAACATCATCAAACATCGGATCAAAATCCGGCACCAACCAGGTACTCACGCTGAGGGCAGCATGGTGGGTTCGCTCGAGTTCTGCACCGGCAAGCTGGGGAGCCGCCTGATTTTGGTGCTGGGCCATACCAAATGCGGAGCCATCTACGGCGCCACTAAGACTGTTTTGGATGCCCAGGCGCAGCCGCAGGAGCCGAAAAAGGCCGGCTCTGCCTTGGAGGGTCTGCTGAAAGACCTTGGCTCCGTGGCCCAAGAAGCAGCAGACGAACTGGGACCTGGTACCAGCTCAGATGAAGTGGCAGCACATGCCGTGAAGGTGAACGTCTTCCACAGCATGAATTTCTTGTTGAAGTTTAGTGACAGTATCCGAGAGGCTGTCAAGTCTGGACAGGTGCAGCTCCAGGGTGGGATCTACCATCTGGAGACGGGAAAGGTTGAATTCCTTGGAAAGTCTCCGGTCCAAAGTGAGCTGCTGAGCAGCACTGCCTCCATCCCTCCTTCCATGACTTCCATGGTTGAGAGAGAAAGTCGTGGCCTCCATGGTGTGCGCACAGCGGCAGACGAGCGCGTTCCATCGGATGCGGCTTTGAAGATGCTGAAGGATTCCCAAATTCCGAGGGTATTTGGGAATGTTTGGAGTGGTGAAGTGTAGTTGACACGTAAACACCAGACATGGTCGCCGAACATTCTATTGTACGTACTCTAGCACAACGTATCCGTGCAAGCTGTGAGGTGTCGTCAGTCTTGTCAACAAACCGGTAGCTTTCAGGTTGCATCTAGAATCTAGAGAAAAGACTATTGAAGAATTTCTTCAAGTGTTAGTTGTTGACAAGTGATCAAGATATACGCCGATGAATCAAAATTCATTTGTGATCTTCCCTTGTTGACTCGGGCTGACTCGGGCTGACTTGGGCTGACTTGGGCTGACTTGGGGCAACGGAGGCCGGCAACGAGCGTTTCGCCACTGGCGCGGTGACCGCCGGCACCACCTCCGGCGAGATGAGGAAGGCCCTCGTGAAGTACAACCAAGCGCCTCACAGTGCCATCATCGGATGCGCCGATTCACGTGTTCCGGTGGACACCATCTTTGATGCCACGCCCGGAGAGCTGTTTGTGCTGAGGAACGCGGGCAACACTTGTAGCTGGGCAAACATAGCCTTAATAGCCTTGCTTGAGCAAATGAATGTCTAAACAGAAGGTGATGTTTGGACATGTTTGGACATGTTTGGACATGTTTGGACAAGTATGAACATGTTTGGACATGCTTTGACATGTTTGGACATGTTTTGACACTTTTGCATCCTGTCCAAAGACCTCCTACCTCGAGTTCTGATGAATTGCAGTGACTGACTCAGTGGCCTACAGAAAATAAAAACTGTGGATCCTTGTTTTTCACAAAACGTGACGACAGAGGTACCCACGCGGAGGGGAGCATGGTGGGTTCGCTCGAGTTCTGCACCGGCAAGCTGGGGAGCCGCCTGATCATGGTCCTGGGACACACGCAGTGTGGTGCCATTGCTGGCGCCACTGCGACCCACCAAGCAGGTGGAGAGGTGAAAGCCCCGGGCTGCGCCCTGGAAGGCCTGCTACAGGGCCTGGCCAGTGTGGCCAAGGAAGCGAGTGACGACTTGGGCCCAGGAGTGTCCCAAGAGAAGCTGGTGAGCCATGCTGTGAAGGTGAACGTCTTCAACAGCATGAATTTCCTGTTGCAGTTTAGCGAACCCATTCGTGACTTGGTGCGCAAGGGTGAGCTGGACATCCAGGGTGGCATCTACCACCTGGAGACCGGTCGAGTGGAATTCTTGGGTCGTTCTCCCCGACAAGACGAGCTGTTGTCCTCCAAGCTTTCCCTTCCACCCTCCATGGCCATGGGCATGGTCCGCACCTCGGAGGATGGAACCTTGGAACCCAAGGCGTGGAGACACCAAAATCATTGAAAATCATTCCAAAGTCAGCGACGTCCGACAGCCTTGAAATTCTATTTTGAATATATAATATATTCCAATGGTTTCATAGTTTTTTTTACCCGTTTTAATGAGGGTCGGGTGAGGTGGCCACCGTGGTTTCGTTAATCGTGTTTGCGATGGTTCCTTGACGATGGTTTCATTCCCTTGCTGGTTTGCATTTTCTTGAATTGAATTAGGAGTGAAGGTTTCATGGTTTCATCCCCAGGTGGCCTTGAAGATGTTGAAGGACGGCAACCATCGTTTCGTCACCGGTGCTCCGGTGCTTGGAAAGGTGGACCGTCACATGCGCGAAGCCTTGGCTCTGAAGGGCCAGGCGCCCCATACTGCCGTGGTGGGCTGTGCCGATTCGCGTGTGCCGCTGGAAACGGTTTTCGATGCCTTGCCCGGTGATCTCTTTGTGCTGAGGAATGCCGGCAACACTTGTGTCTGGGCTCGGCAGTTTTCAGGTGAGTTTGTTTGATTTTTCTGTTTCTACTTCCCCTGAGTTTGGCTTGCCTTGATATTCTGTTTTTATGTGTTTTTATGGGTTGACGTTTAAGATTCTGACCAAGAATGAGCGACGAAAACGAGGCACTCATGCTGAAGGCTCGACTCTGGGGAGCTTGGAATTCTGCACCGGGGCTCTGAACACTCGGCTGATCTTTGTGTTGGGCCACACCAACTGCGGAGCTCTCAAGGGAGCCACTGCGGCCTATCTTTCGCAAGAGAAGCGAGCCAACCACGCCCTGGACGTCTTGCTGAACGAGCTGGGCTCCGTGGTGTCTGAGGCCAAAAGTCAGTGCGGCAGGAACGCCACCGCAGATGAGATCGCCAGCAAGGCTGTGGGGGTTGTGGGGCTCAGCAGTTGGAAAGCGAGGAGCCCAACCGGTTGAAATATCTCGAACTGTTTTGTTTTTTGTCGGATTACTTGTTGATACTTGTTGAGCGTGTTTTCCAGCCGTTTTCGGGGTGTGCCTGTTTTCCTCTTCCCAAAAAATCTGGTGAATCGGTGCAGGCAGTGAAGCTGAACGTCTTCCACACCATGAATTTCATGCTGAAGCACTGCGATGCCATCCGCGAGAAGGTGCGCAGTGGTCAGCTGGAGATCCAGGGCGGCGTCTATGACTTGAGCACGGGGAAGGCGCCAGGGTTCAGGCAATTTGTTTTGGGTTCCTTCGTGAACACCTTAGGCAGTTATATAGTTAGGCCAGTTAGGCCTGTCTCAGACACTGTCTCTATCAATTTTATCAGGGAAACTGCTTTGGGATCTTTTAGGCTGGTGAATGAGTTGTTGTTGCGGTCCCTTATTGGGGCCCTCCTTGGAACCTTGGGAAGGTGGAGTTCCTGGGAAAAAGTCCACAAGAGTCCAAGTTGATCAAGGGCAGCAGCAGTGTGGCGCCCTCTCTGAAGCACAAGATTGCTGGAGCCTAGACAACCTAAGGCGACCTAAGGCGACATCTTGGCCGAATCAGGAGCGAGGACGGTTGGTCCTGGTTGTTCTGAAGAAGCAGCTAGGGACTTGAAATTCAAAGTGGGACTGCACAAAAAGCCTGCAGTTCCATTGCATTTTTTTTCGCAATTTTATACAAATTATTTTCATTCTACTTTCACCCTCAACGAGTCCGTCGGCCACGTTGAGGATTAAATGTTGATTGATTTGCAAAAGGCAATTTCACTCTGCCTACCGCTGAGGGTCATAGCGTAAAGACGCTACGTGTTCCTTCAGTGTTTGGAGACACCTTTGTGACTGGAGAGCTTCATGTCGCGCTGGTGTCTCCAGAAACCCTTTTTGTGCAACGTCCGTGCACTCATGAAAAAAACAGATACAACCAAGATCAACCGAGGGTACTTGTACGGGGAGGTTGTATGTTCATTTGCTTGTGTGCCCTTTTGCATCGAACCGGGTCATGGCCATGGGGATCATTGTTTTTTCTTTCAAACCCCTTTTGTTGATTGCAAACGCTGCAGTCACAAGAAGGCTTAGCTGCATGGTTGTTTGCAGAGAGGTTGCGAGCACGTCCTTGCAAAGTGATTGTTGACATTGCGGTTTCTCAGCACATTTTTGTTCAAACCAACCCTCGCCACGACCAGTTGATACTTGTTGCATTTCGCATCCACCATGAGCTTCTTCACTCAGATCGCCGATGCCCTGACATCTGCAACATCCACGTGCTCCGTCAATGAAGAGGTGCGAAAGGTTCGCACCACGGCAGACCCATCGATGGCACCTGAGGATGCCCTTGAGCTGTTGAAGGAGGGCAATCGTCGATTTGTGGATGGACAACCCTTGGGTTCCAAGACTCAGAACGTCCAACGGCACCAGTTGGTGGATGAAGGTCAGGCACCCCACACCGCCATCATCGGCTGCGCTGATTCGCGTGCTCCGTTGGAAACAATTTTTGATGCCATGCCCGGTGACATCTTTGTGCTGCGCAATGCTGGCAACACTTGTACCTGGGCTTAGTTAAGTTTTATAAGCATTTTCAATTAATTTCATTATTATTTGTGAGTGACATTGATGACTTTGACACTGCATGTTTCTGTCGATTTCCCCAGATAAGATGCATTGCATTGGCATGCACTGCACGTACAAATGTATGTTTGTACATGTGTATGCATTGCATGCATTGATATGTATTGATATCAGACATCTGATCAAAATCCGGCACCAACCAGACCAACCAGGTACTCACGCTGAGGGCAGCATGGTGGGTTCGCTCGAGTTCTGCACCGGCAAGCTGGGGAGCCGCCTGATTTTGGTGCTGGGCCATACCAAATGCGGAGCCATCTACGGCGCCACTAAGACCTTTTTGGATGCCCAGGCGCAGGCGCAGGAGCCGAAAAAGGCCGGCTCTGCCTTGGAGGGTCTGCTGAAAGACCTTGGCTCCGTGGCCCAAGAAGCAGCAGACGAACTGGGACCTGGTGCCAGCTCAGATGAAGTGGCAGCACATGCCGTGAAGGTGAACGTCTTCCACAGCATGAATTTCTTGTTGAAGTTTAGTGACAGTATCCGAGAGGCTGTCAAGTCTGGACAGGTGCAGCTGCAGGGTGGGATCTACCATCTGGAGACGGGAAAGGTTGAATTCCTTGGAAAGTCTCCGGTCCAAAGTGAGCTTCTGAGCAGCACTGCCTCCATCCCTCCTTCCATGACTTCCATGGTTGAGAGAGAAAGTCGTGGCCTCCATGGTGTGCGCACAGCGGCAGACGAGCGCGTTCCATCGGATGCGGCTTTGAAGATGCTGAAGGATTCCCAAATTCCGAGGGTATTTGGGAATGTTTGGAGTGGTGAAGTGTAGTTGACACGTAAACACCCCCAGACATGGTCGCCGAACATTCTATTGTACGTACTGTAGCACAACGTATCCGTGCAAGCTGTGACGTGTCGTCAGTCTTGTCAACAAACCGGTAGCTTTCATGTTGCATCTAGAATCTAGAGAAAAGACTA